CGCATTTTACATTTGTAATTCACCAGAGCTGGTGGTTGTTAAGTGCTCAAGGAATCCAGTACACGTGTGTGCTGTTCGGTGCCCACGGAAATTTAAGAGAGGTTGCACAAGGCTTCAAATAACAGCTCTTGTTTGGAGGGTAAGATGTGAGGAACATGAGCTAATTCAAAAGCTCTGAATTATAAACATTTCCAGTTTGGAAAACTGATTTGTGCAGTAGGACTGTGAGAAAGGAAGGAATTCAGAAGCTATTCAGACACTGGCGAAACCAAAAGCAAAGATGGAGAGTCAGAGGAAGCCTTTTAGTTCTTTGAGTGCTTTTACTGGTGTTGTGATATCCATTAACATTCCTTCCTGAAATTCGTCTGTCACGTTCCTCAAGCCCATTTTCTTGCAGGAAAAACAGTGGGCTGCAACATCGAGCTGTTTTCTGCATTCTCTTTTCCACAGGACGTGGATGTGTCAGAGCAGCAATTGAGAGCAGTCACAGCTGGCAAGGAGGGTGCAGGTGTTCCTGGCAGAGCAGATGGGAGGGATCTGGAGGGAAAGCAGGGGTTTCCTTTGGATGATATCAACATTTTTTCACACATGCTAATGTCGGGAAATGCAGCTCTGAGTGAAAAGGGCATTGTAACAGTTCAGCTGCAGAGTCTGCCTCAGTTTGCCTGGTGAAGCAGCACAGGGTGTTTCCAATGAACTTCCACCTTTGGGGCATCAGCCAGAGGCTGGTGAGACACAAGGTTTGCTGGCCAGCAGAACGGGATAAATTTAAATCCTGCTTCTTGCTAAATTGGTGCTTAGGCTTGTCATGAGCAGCAGCACGAGATGATGGTTGCAGCTTCTTTTGGTTTTGTTTTGTTCAGGTAATGACATTGTGTCCCTGGCTGCTTTTGGCAGCAGTGGCCTGTCAATGTCCCCACCTTGTGTGGGCTGATTGCTCCCTGACAGAGAAAACAGGGAAGGGGTGGGCAAGCATAATTACAGCCTAACAGGGGCTCAGGATCAGACCTGGAACATGAAATCAGTTTGAACTGCACTATTGCATTACTGATGTTGTGCATTGTCCCTGTTAAGACTTGGAAAAAGGGGGTTGTCTTCTACAGCGAGCTGGTTGTAGTGAAACCAAGGGCTTGTGGCGTTTTGGTTTGTTTTTAAATAACCAGAGCTTGAAGCATATGTGAGTACATCTGTGTCAGTTTTGATGGTAGGGAAATTGTCCTCTTGCTACAATGCCTGGAAAGAAAAATAAAACCAAGGCACCTCTGCAGCCAGTGATAGTTCCAGTGCACCAAACTCTGAAGTGTGAGCTAAGGACTGCACAGCTGTAGGAAGCTGCTGACAATTGTTGCTGTTCTGCTCTTGGAGGGTGATGTGGAAAACCTGGGACAATTCCATAAGGTCCTGTATGCCAATAACAGGGCATTACTTAATTTCCCCTGTGGAGAATGTGTGCATTTAATTGTACAAGGCTTTGGGGGTTTTGCCTATTCTCTGCATTCTCTTCTATTTATAGCTGTCATTAACTCTTTTTCCAGAATGGCCAATGATAGGGTTGCTGAGGCTGTGGGATGCTGTGATTTTTAATTTGCCATCCTTGTGGCCAAGAGAGGCAAGAAGGTTTTAGATGCAACTGAAAATCTAAATTTTATCCCAATCCCAGGCACTGCAAGCAGTGGATACAACGGTCTGTGTTTTAAAAGGCGCCGTGTGGCGTGGGAGTGTGTGGATAAAAGCATTTTAAAGACACAGCCTGCCCAGCACTTCTCCTCCCAAACATGTTGTCCAACATAACACAGATCAAACTGTGAAGGATTACTGAATTGACTTTTAAAATATTTTTCTGAGAATGGAAACATGTTGCAAATGTTCTCACTCCATTGAATTTAAGGCTTCGATATGAGACCGAGGGGAGGAAGAAGAGATTTGATAACTGCCTACAGAAAAAGGAGATATTTTGGAATGCTGCTGATCTTTCCTTTAGGGACAAGAAGGGTAAATTTGGGAGAAGCCTCAAGTGGTAAGTGGGTATGGGTGAGACCAGAGAATGTTGAAGGAAGAATCTGATCCTCCTGATCTCTTAGGCGCTGGGAGCAGGTTCTGGTCCCATCCCTCTCTGGTTCTTGTAAATGGTTCTGGAGTAGCATTCATCTTTTTAAAGGTGTGTGAATACATCCAAAGTAGAAGCCACTTACTTTTATGTTTGCCACTGCTTCCCAAACTGTGGTGAGCACGCTGTCAGCTGTGCTGATGGGAAATATTAACAGCTGCAAGGCATCTTTGAGTGTATGGCAAATACTTGGACATGGATTTGGATTGCATTTTTGAGCTTTTTCTGAAGTTTAGCCATGTAATGTTGCAAGGGCTTGATTATTTATTTTTTCTGTGTAGTGTGCTGATTTTTGACGTTTTTTATAAAGCTACTTCTAAAATTAGCATTTGGTATTTTGAAAGTGCTATATATTGATCTTCTACTACATTCTTCTAGTAGATTAATTTTGGTTATTAAGTCCTATTTAATTAATTAATATATGTTTAAACATTGTTGGTTTCTTTTAGCAGTGCTTTTCCCCCTGCTTTTTACCTCAGATAGACAACCAAATTATCCCACAGGCTGGATTTTCCTTTGTTAGCTAAACCAGAGCAGGGATTAAGATTGGATTCCACCAAAGCAAAGGCCAACAACGCTGCTATGGCAGAATACTCTTGGATCACACATAAGTTTTAATGCATTTTTGCAAAGGCTAGGCTATTGAAAATGGCTTTGAGCAATCAGTGTTAAATAAGTTGTTTCAGCCTGTTCAGTTTTTTCATCATTTGGGTTTCTAGTATTTTCTAGCTCGCAAAATGAGGAAAAATATTTTAGTCATAGAATGCTGTAAATTATTGTGGAAAAAACCAAGCTGAAAATTAACCTTTGACCATAAAATGGAACTTTTCCAATATATTGATAAGTCACATCTGTATACAACTTTCTGATCCAGCTTATAATAATAGACAGTGTCTTCCTGCCCCTCTTCTGCAAAACATGGCACTGAATTTGGCAATACATGGATGTTTTTGATGGGTTTGGCTGCTCTTGCTCTTGAAATTCCCAAGCAGTGATGCATGAAGTATGGTAGGTGGTATGTAATTTCACAATGGTAATTGAGGTATTGTACTTAGAACTTAAATTTTAGGTTTAAATTGCCCTTATTAGGATTTTGTGTTGGCTTTTTTTATATATTTGGCCACAAACCCATTATTTAATAAGTTCCATACTTGAGAAGGGCTTTATTTTTTCAGCCTTCAAAAGTTACTTGAGCATTAGTTGATGTATGGGAAGTAATTAGGTCACTGAAACATGATTGGTAGTTTAAAGAATTTGTCTTAATGGGATGCAGAAGTCGAAGTGATACCTCTGAAAAGATTCTATGAATGTTTAAAATTTTTTTGGTGATTCAGAGAGGAGAGCTTTTAAGAATAAAAGTATCTTTCTCTACAAAAATATTTGTCCAGTGTTTCTGTTTAAAATAAATGCTCTTTTGTTTGTTTAGCAGAGTTGACTCAGCTTTGGTTGGTTACCATAGTTCAGCACTGTGAATTTCTAGTAATTCCCATGTGAATTTCTAGTGATTCCCAGGCTTGGTTCAGGTTTTGGGGATCTTTTTGTATCGCTTTGTTAGCTGCCTGTGGAGCTGTGCTTCTCTTTGTTGAATTTGGAAAAACATCAAGCAAGATTTAAGTCTTGATCTAAAATCCCTCAAATGTCACTCACTGATGAAAAACATAAATAACTTTTAGTGAAGTAGTGGCTGCAGGGAGAGATAAAAGACTTTGCTTGTTTTAAATTAGTGATCTCATGGAAAGGTACTATGGCAAGGTAGCCCTGGTTATATGAGGTAATAGCTGCTCAATGGCCTTTTGGGAAACAAGAAAAAATATTTAGGATTAAAATATGCAGCAGTGGTAGAGGGACCAAGGGCAGCCTGCTACATTCTGTAGCTGGGAGGTGACAGCTGACTGGTGAAGCTGAGCTGCTCTTTTGTGTGGCTGTAGCTGGTCCTTGGTTTGTGTGGTCAGCAAAGCTGTTCTCTCACCTCTGGCTGTGAATCCGTCCATTTTTCAGCCTCCTCGTGGAAGCTGAAAGCTGTAACTGTGTGCCCAGCGTTCTTGAGGAGCTCAGTAATCTCCAGCACTTGGATTGGAGGAGTAAAAGGCTGGGAGGATCAAATAAGTGCCAAGTTTTGGCCTGACCTTGACTCCTTTGTCTAAATGACTTCCTTTATCAGACTTGCTTACTTTGTTTTGTTTGATCCTAGTCCCCTGTTCAAGCCCAGCTTCTGGCTTTTGCCACTCTGGTTAGATTGGTGCAGTGTCTCCACTTGTCAGCTGGGTTGTTGCTGCCCTGTGAAAATGTTCTCTCCAACAACAAAATTACCAGTAAATGAAGTAATTTGGTAGCTTCATGTAGCCAGTACCAGCACTGTACTGGAATATAGGCACTTCAGAGCCCAGGCTTCATGAACTAAGAACAAGTAGTGTGGGTTTTGTCTCTGAGTGGGTTCACTGAGTTGATTTCCAGTGGAGTTGGAGAAATGCAAGTAAGGGTGAAAAAGAAAACTCAGATTAGGGTTATTGACAAACCCTAGTTTGGAGATCCTGATGAAGCCTTTGATAAAACACAGGCTTACATGCACTTGAACATTGTGTTGAAATCATCCAAATACTGCGGTTGTGATGCCCTCTGGAATCTTTATTCCTGTTTCTAGGAGTTTAATGTTTAATGTACAGTGGACCAGAAGGCATTGTTGACTATTAGAAGCTAAATTTTGGAATCATGTGGACTACCTGGGTAGATGCAATGCCTTTGAGAATGTTCCTTGGAAACATAATTTTAATGTAGTGTTCTTTCAGCTTTTATTCCTGAAGTCGTGTTACTAGATAATGCCAGTGAATAATTAGAATAACCTTGAGCTAACCTTTGCTGCCTGTTTTATTCTTGTTTCTTTTGTTTTTCCCAGGACAAAATGGCCAAAATGGAGGTCAAGACATCGCTTTTAGATGACATGATTGGGGTGGGAGATATGGTTCTTTTAGAGCCACTTAATGAAGATTCCTTCATCAATAACCTGAAGAAGCGCTTTGATCACAATGAAGTTTATGTGAGTATATGTTAAGAAATAACATCCTATGGGGAGCTATGCTGTCATTCTCAAGATGTGTGTTTATTTATAAGGATACACACAGACTGAGTGCCTGAACATTATCTATTGTATTAGGGATGTTTTAAACCTTACTTGTGCTGTAGTCTTTCCTGTACTGCATTCTTTGCATTTGATCTTCCCCATCTGGGATATTTTTCCTTTTTCTTTTTCCCTATTACACGACATGGGAGACCTCTGATTTTCATAAAGAACAGTTCCAGAACTGCTGCTGGCAGTAACTTTGATACTGCTGTTGTCAGAGGGCATTGCAGTTATAAATAATTCATTTACAGGGAAGGCACTTCCAGGATGTTAGAGGGGGCTGAAGCAGAAACAATACATGCTCAGAATATGCTAAGGGTAACTTAAATATTGCCTGCTATCTTTGATTTGCAAAAGGGTTGTGTTTATTATAATGGTTGATTTCAAACTAAATACAATGAGCTTGGATATATGTGGAAGTAATCAAAGTCTTCAGGCATATTAATCTCTGAGTGATGATCAGCAGGAGAGATGTGAACTGGCAGTTGAAACACAGGCAGGAATGAAGAAGCAAATGGTGATTCCAGTTAAGCCTTTCATTTCCTGCTTCATCTCTTTGTTCCACTTTTGCTAAAATGTGCACGGTATTGTATCTGTTTTTTTGCTTAGGGTGTGTGAACTTAATGGTTTGGAGAGACTTTCCAAGGCAGCTGAAGAGTCTAAATATTTTAGCCAAAGTATATCTGTGATCAGCAGGCAATTGTGTCTGCAGCTTACTCAAATCAAATAGGTGTTCTGTACCTAATTATAATTTAGCCTTCTTCTGCTTTTTAATTTTTGGTGTGATTATATTTTTCATTCTTGCTGAGCATTTGAACCATGATGGTTTCATTATACTGGAGATTGGAAAGGAGAAGGTATGGGAAAATCTGTGCTGTTTGCTTCTTCTATCCCTTAGTTATAGTCTGTGATTTTCTACCTCTGCTATTCATTGTCTGACACATCTTTCTTCTTAAACAATTTTCTTGCTTAACCAGACCTGCTTCCTTTTCTGGACGCTTAAGGTTTGTAATACACAGTTGCTCCAAACTGCTGTTGTATAATCTCCACCAATGTGCTCCTTCAGGTTGTATTGACCTTTAAGTTAAACAATAAAATTTGATTAAGAAAAGACTCTCAGTATCCATGAAAAGCTTGTTGAAGAAGAAACCAAAATGATGTGTATTTGTGGAAATTTTTTTCCCTTGATGGTTAAAAAAAATTAACCTTTTTGTCTTTAAACTTCTGTTATACCTTTGAGAGTTACATTTGCAAAACTTTGTGTCTTGAATTTTCCTTGTTCCTTGAAGATGGGTTCTGTTCCCTATGGATAACCCTTGGATGTTGATACAGACAAATAGATATCAGGCTTCTCTTGTCTGCTCTTTTATCTTGTTTCTGGCAAATCCTTCATTGTCAATAACTGCAGTGGCTGCCTCATCTGGGATTCAGAGGGTTTTTTTTCCAGTCAGTGGCTTGTATTCTTAACATATTCCACATCAGTTTAGGACTTCTCTTGTCTGCTCTTTTATCTTGTTTCTGGCAAATCCTTCATTGTCAATAACAGCAGTGGCTGCCTCTTCTGGGATTCAGAGGTTTTTTTCCAGTCAGTGGCTTGTATGCTTAACATATTCCACATCAGTTTGGGGTTAATACTCTATTCCTAGTGCCTATGGTACCAGGGGATGATTCTGAATCATCTAATTTAATTTAACTCAAGAAAATATGAAGGAAAAGGAAGGAGAGCTGTTTGCCTGAGATTAAAGGAGGCAGTAGCACCCAGCCCAATCTTTGGGTCACATTTGAAAGTTTTATTTAAAGTATTTAAGATGCAAATTTGTTTTGGGAGGGCACCCTGGACTTTGCAGTTTCTTATAAAGGATTGCTATAAATCTTATGGGAGTGGATTTCTCAAGGAGGGTTTTGGTTTCTTTTTTTTTTTTCCTGCCAACTACTATGGATTTTCCTGTCAACTACTATGGATTGCCTTTAATTACATGTTTCTGCTTAATTCAGACTAGTTTGTTTTTTCTGGAAAGAAATGGGATGTTTTCCTTGAAAGAAACAGAATGGAACACCCAGCAAATGGATGTTGTGTTTTGTTATTATCTGCTGTCATGAGCTAGCTGGCATTGTGTGTTCAAACACACATTTCTTTGAGATGGTGATATTGAAGCATGTGTTTCCCTCAGTTTCTGATTCTGCTGCACCTGGCACTGATGTGCAATGTAATTATCTCTATTATGTGCTTTGGTAGGTGATACCAGGTGCCACTTTTCCCTAGCAATGTAGGATCCTTTGGCTTGCAGGTGTGAAAGTCTGTTTTTTCAAGGTCTTACAGGCTCTGTGTGTGAAACCACAATATGAAGGCCAAATGTCACAGATCTTTGCGAATATAAAAACATTCACTACATACAATGGTGGACGAAAAGAGATGCTCATGCCTGTGCCACATGCTGCTACCAAGTATGCAAGTTACTTGGCTTGTGATGCTGCATGGCTTTATTTACCAAATCACTTGAGGAATATTGTTTCCTCTCCATATCAGCTGAGTTTTGCTGCCTTGCAAATTTTCATGCCTCTGTTGCGTATTTTAGGGAATTTGTAAAACAGTAACAGTTGGAATGGTGCTCACTGTAACAACCACATTAATTTTCAAGTACAAGCTCTTCTCTACCTTCTCCTTGCTGCCGCCACTCATGGCAACTACACTTTGCATTTCTGGTTTTAGACTCTGGTGGGGACAATGCAGCCTCTGTTACAACTAGAAGTAGGGCTTCTTTTGCCATGTAAAATCTGTAGTTTGCATCCTGGGGAAACCAAATTGCACTATTGAAGAGCTGCTGCTGGTGCTTAACCAAGACTGCAGATTTTTACTCCTCCAACAAGCTGTATAGAGAAATTGACCTCTCAGGATCCTTTCAGAGGGCAGTAGGAATGGATTTGTCCTTTAATAAGTCAGCTGTGGGCTTAAGTTCAGCCCTCATGTCAGTATTCCACTGCAGGCACTGCCAGAAGTTGTGTCCAAGTTTAAAGGACAAAGTCAAGCTGCAGCAAACCAGACTTACCCAACATGGTTTTCTAAACTGTTTCCTGCAGAGTGAAGGCTCTGTCTGTGCTGCATATGTTAGTTTTAAAAGGGAGTTGCAGTTGTAACCTTCAAAAGGATTTGTTGTGAGGAATGAGACCTGTAACATGGATAGCTTTGAAGATGCTGTGAGGTTGGCCAGATGCTGCATGATGGTGTTAGCCAGTCTTGGTAGGTAAATTCACTAAGGGGACTTAGAGGAGAGATGGGCACAAGCTTTTTAGTAAAGCCTGTTGTGACCGGATGAAGAATATTGGTGTTAAACTCAGAGGGTAGGTTTAGACTAGATAATAAACAAGAAATTTTCTTTATGATGTGGATAGTAAAACACTGTAACAGGCTATCCGGAGAGGTGGTAGTTGCCTCATCCCTGGAAACATTCAGGGTCACCATGGAGATGGATTCTGAGCAACCTGATCTGGTTGGAGATGTCCCTGCTCATTGGAGAGAGGATTGATTGGACTACAGACCTTTAAATATTCCTTCCAACCCAAACTCTTCTGTGATTCTGTGAAATGTGAGAGTCAGATCAAGCTATCAGTGAACAATGCCAAACCTCTCCCCTCCCCACAGCCAAGGATGACAAGATAGTTTGGCTCATTCCACTAGAAGATTTTTTGCCTTTTCTAGTCCCTCTCACAGTTTTTTTGTTTGATGCTGAATGTTTGATGTTGGAGATCCTAGTGCCAGCTCCATCTGCCCCTTTGAAACTCTAGATCTTCTCCACAAGAGCTCCCTTTGCAAAAGCATTTAGATCTGGATCCCCTGATGGTCCTTTTGTATCATCCCAGGCACGTTCACTGTAAGCCCTTCAAGAACATTGACAAAGTTTCATGCCATGGTGCAAACAGGGCAATGAGCTCCCTCCTAAGGGTGGGGGAGCAGACTGTGGCCTGATTACCTGTTGTTCAATTTTATGTGTATTTGGTGGAAAGTTTAATAGACTTGGGTGTTGTGTTACATACTAGAGCGCAAAGCTGGAGGCTGTGCCTATAAAAATAAGCATGAAGGCTGGTGGAGCTGGAGTTAGGCCAAATATTCTACTAAAGACCATCAGATTCTGCAGTAATCTCATGCTGAGTGGCTTTGGGAGGGGGAGGTTTTGTTGGGTAACATACATGTGTTAATTGGAAATGGGAATCTTAGAGTTTAGTCATGTCTGGAAATGTCTGAGGTATGTCTGACCAAGAAAAATCTCATTAGAAAGCTGAATTGTTTATTATATTGTTTTTGCAACTCTTAAACTTTATATTGATAAAATTTGCATTGCTGTTCCACAAAAGCTCTTTTCTGTAACTGTTGGTAACAAAAGCCCGTGGGAGTCTTTCGTTAACTTTACGAAGTAAAATGTGGCTCATGGGCAATGCATTAGCAAGTAGGAAAGAATCCCACAATGTTGATTATTTGAAGGTTTCAGGGAGCAGTTTGTGTGGTTAAAATGGGTGACCTGCAGACCACATGGAAAACTTTAAATACATTCATAAAATTCAGTTGGTGTGTGATTGATGAATTTTTGACTTGTTCTGTTGAACTCCGTCTCTTAAGCTTTGTTTTTTTTCCTAAGTTGGCTGAAATATGTTCACCAAATCCAATTCAGCAATTATTTTTCCTTTGCAGTTTGGGATGCTGACAAATGGGAGGAGGCATCTGTCTATATGTGCATTTACAGTGACTCATGAATGGTAGAGATTTTGCATAAAATGTAGTATTTGTATTGGTCTGAAACTTATTTTTATGCTGGGTTTGTTGCTTTGTGAGATATGTGGAAGTGTCAAGGGAGGTGTGAGGAGTCTGGAGGGGAGTGGAGCTGCGTAGGCTCACAGGAGTCAGTCTTTAGAGGTCAGATGTG